TGACAGGCTTCTTCATCTCATGGCCTTAAACACTGTGTATAAATTTAAAGTCAATCAGTTATTAACTTTAAACTCTAGAGCTTTTACATGATTTTTCAAAGTGATCAAGGGCCATAACTCTGGCAGTAATTATCGGAAATTGGTGAAAATCAATAGGATTCTTCGTCGTCTCATGATTTTAAACACTGTGTATAAATTTAAAGTCAATTGAATATTAACTTTAGCCTCTAGAGCGTCCACATGATTTTTGAAAGTGATCAAGGGTCAGAACTCTGGCAGTAATTATCAGAAATCGTTGAAAATCAATAGGCTTCTTCCTTCGTCTCCTGACCTTAAACACTGTGTATAAATTTGAAGTCAATCGGATTTTAACTCTGGCAGTAATTATCGGAAATCAACACGTTTCTCCATTTCATGACCCTAAACACTGTGTATAATTTTCAGGTCAATCGGATGTTATCTTTAGCCTGTAGAGCGTCCACAAGATTTTTCAAAGTGATCAAGGGCAGTCCCGTAACTAAGGAGGGGGAGGGGCTGCAAAAAGTTTCGCACCCCCCCCCCCCCACGTGAAAAAATTGTTGACCATAAAAACAATAGATATACATTGTCCGTCAATTTTACAGCACCGCTGAGAACACTTTCCGGCCCCCTCGTTGCTCTGAGCTAGTTACGGCCCTTTGTGAACGTTAAACCTCATTTCATTTCATTTCATTACAACAAAGTGAAAAGTAGGGTCGCCTGTCCAACCTCGTGGGTTTTCTCCGGGTCCTCCCACTGCTAAAGACCCCTACGCGCAAGCGAATTATTGAAATAAAAAAAATTAAACCATATGTTAGTCTCGAAATGACCTAGTTTGTGTCGAGTGAGCCTTAAACCCCATTTCTCTCAGTTTACCTCATTTTTCAAGTCTAACTATTCGCTAAAATGTACTCAAATGGATCATTTAACATTTAACAAGCACGTTTATCTTTTTGAAAAGTATCGAGCAAACAAACTGATTATCAACTATACACCAAGTTTCATCCCTCTCTATCGGATAGAATCAAAGTCAAAAAAATTGCTTAGCTTTAGCGGGAAATGTTAATCATTGAACTCAGTCAAGACATTCATCTAATGAACATCAACATCAAGTTTAAACATTCTACCTCAATTAAAAGCAGAGTTGTTATGTTCCAAAGTCTTAACCAATCAAATTACTTCTCGCTAATTAGCCTAAGCAGAAAATTAGTCAAGGTAATGATATAATCATAACCAAAGTTATCGTGCCCAAAAGCATCAACCAATCAAACTGCTTATCTCTAATAAACGTAGAGATAGACAATGTTCATCATCGAACTCCATCACGCCTATTGAACGCCTGCACCAAGTTTAAACATTCTACCTCAATTAGAAGGAGATAATAAAATAAAATCAAGTACGAACAATCCAAACCATTAGACAAAATTCGAAGTCCTAAAAAAACGGTATATAGGTAAAATAGTGTAATAAGGCAAAATAGTGTAATCAGCATATGGACTGTTCACCGTGTACAAAATACACGACAAACAGTGGTAACAGGTGTCCGGAAGAGTAAGCTTACCCTGCCTAGCGCCGAACCCGCCATAGCTGCATCCAAACTATTAGGCGAAATCTCGGTAAAATAGCGTGATTGGCCAATGGACTATCGGTATGCAAAATACACGTGATGAACAGTGTTAACGATGTAGTAGACAGACATTATCAGGGAGATAGTATACACATCAATTAAATATATCTAGAATAATAGCCGAGAGAGACATGTTATATTTACCAATCAAGTCAATATGGCGGCCATAAAACTTTTTAATGGTTTTAATAAGTTTAGTTCGCAAGTATCCCTGTAGTTGAAGCTTAGATGACAAATGCCTCGATCTACTTAAAAAATCAGAATAAAATGAACAGGCTCTCGCGTAACGAATTAGTTGAGACACAAACACTCCATAAGCTGGTGATATTCAAATGGAAAGTTAACAATCGGAAAGTCAAAGTCACCACGTTTATCGTACAATTTAACACTAAGTTTATGGCAATTGTCAAAATCGAGACTCAAATCCATGTAGGAAGCGTAATTGTCACCGTCAGTAGTGTTTTTAATTTCGAGCTGATCAGGATATATGAATTCTACATAATCACTAAATTTTGGATTATTCAGTGATAGAACATCATCGATATATCGATAAGTGAAATTAAAATGTCTGACTAATCGTTTATTTGATTTTACAAGTGCCTGTATGTAATCTGCTTCGTAGGAATAGAGAAACAAATCAGCAAGCAAAGGTGCACAGTTGGTGCCCATATACCTACCACTTGCTGATAAAAGTTATTAGGGTTTCACACTGCGTAGCTTGTGTGAAACACTATTGTTTTTGTTAAATTTATTAGGGTTTCACACTGCGTAGCTTGTGTGAAACTCTTTGTTTTTGTTAAGATTATTCTTATTATCATTATCATTTTTTTTCCAATTTGATTGTATCTCAGAAACTACATGTCGGATCGATACGATGTCTTTGGTTTTTTTGGGAAAGTGTGTGTGACTAGTGCTGATATCAAGTAAAATTTTACGTATCGATGCATCAGATGCAAACATCGATTCTGGTATCGATGCATCGGAAATTTTTTGCCCCCATTTTGTTAATCAAAAATTACAGAAATAACATTAGGATTTCTGATAGAAACATAAATTTCCCTAACATTATCATTAGGCCTAATATAAAAATGTTGATTTATTTGAATAAATTTATCTCAACAATATTCTTCTGTTATTTATTATGACATTAATATCGTTTGATTCACTTCAATTGACAATCGTTAGCCATTGTTCAAATTTGTTGTAAAGGGGGGAGTGTGTGAGGTGATTACTAGAGACAGTTTGCATTATTTATACGGAACGTATCAAAGCCTGTCTATAGGGATTTATGAAGTACATTCTCTATTGCCCGTGACAGAAAATAAGACTGAATCGTTTTAAAACTAGCGTTAAAAACCGGCCAGGAAATATTATCCTCCTGACAGAGTTCGTTAAATGAACCGTGAAATTGACCTTGGGGTTAAAAGACATGATAGCCAGGGGACGTAACCAGCAAACTGAGTCTTTGCAGTCACTGGAAAATTTAGACAAACATAACGGAAGCGTAGGGTAAACAGGTCAAGCCTAATACTTTGTGCGTGATTCATTGAATTGTTCTGTTACATATATTGGTTTTTTTTAATTATAACAAACACGTAGAAAAACGTACATGTATTGAAAAGGTGTTTTTTATTCTAGTGGCCGAACTTGTGAACTCCTCAGAGTCCTTGGACACATAAAGCTAATTATTGGTATTTTTTGCCGATGCATCGATAATACAAAAAAGTACCGAGAATCGAATCGGCGTCAGCCGAATCGATCAGCATCGATACTTGATATTGAATATATATAAACTGATTTACATTCAATCGTTTCTGTTTTTACTGTAATTTCTAATCAGTTATGTTGGTCGATATATGCCAGAAGTCTCAATCGAATGGCAATCTCTAGCGTCTGGTTATTCCAGTCTACACCAAGGGTATTTATTGCGCATGCTCTCCAGATAAGAACATGGCGTGAGTGTTTGATATGACTTGTGGAATATGTCTAGCCTCGTTCTTCGAGTCCCTATGCACTGAAACGCATTATGGTACACGATTTGTGTACCAATGGTAAAATGTTTATTTTGTCTTAAATATTGGATGTCAGAAGCCCACGACATCAATGTTGATTTAAACTGACAAATAATTTATTTGTGTTTTCAAAGTTCAAGGCTTTGGATGACACTGAGTTAGAGACTTAGCTACTTTAAACTGACAAGAGCCTAGGCTTTTTTGAAGAGCATCACCCCAAGAAGATGAGTGGCGGTTAGCAACCAGTCCTGGTCCAGAAAAAAAACACAAGTGTCAATAGAAGACTTTAATTCAAAGTCAAATTCCAAGTCACAAGTGAGGGGGGGGGGGTATATCAAATTAGTGTAATATTATGTGTCAAAGGAGCTGATAAAGTGGAATATCAATCAGAACTGACATTTCTATTCATACATTTATTTATGACATAAAATATAACCCTGTGCTGCTTACATCAAACAATTTAAAGGACAATATTGGTGCCAGTCATTATCACATGTGATAGAGCTGGTTAAACACATTCCAAATATAATTTAAACACAGAGATCATTGCCACGATAGCTGAGTAATACAGTTTTCCAGAATCGGAAGTGACGAACGCCAAAGGAAAACACGAGTCATCTCTCTATATAACTGACTGATGTGACGAGTGATAACGGATATACAGGCGAATTTCTGCTCACTAATAATTCATTCGAAGACCAAAAGTTGTTGTATGAGATTGTGAGAGGATATCTGACAATTCATAAAAAGAATTGACTGTCACTAGATAAGTGAACACGAAAGAAAAACAGAAAAAGTCTGTGCATTACCATGTTTTTATAAGATATAGAATGAATATAAACAAGGGAATGTACGGACTATTTCTATTTTTCTCGTGTTCTCTTATCTAATGACATTCAATTACTTTATTGAATTGTCAGGTATCCTCTTACAGTCCCATATATCAACTTTTGGTCTTCGAGGGAATTATTAGTGAGCAGAAATTCAGCCGTATGCCGTATATCCGTTATCACTCATAACATCAGTCAGTTATATAGAGAGATGACTCGTGTTTTCCTTTGGCGTTCATCACTTCCGATTCTTGAAAACTGTATTACTCAGCTATCGTAGCAATAATCTCTGTGTTAAAATTATATTTGGAATGTGTTTAACCAGCTCTATCACATATGTGATAATGACTGGCACCAATATTGTCCTTTAATAATTTCACAGTGAAGACAGGTCAGATATCTCCCTAATACTCAAATTCTTATGTATGAAATACCGTACGCACATAACTTTCTTTGACACTGTGTGACTGTTGCAATAAGTATAGACTGTACAATACAAAAATGTTATCCTACCTTGACATTGGAATCCCTGCTTTCCAAAACCCCTGCAAATTAAAGAGATGACAGCCCATTATTTGACAGCTATATATTATTTTGTTGAATTCTTAACAGGAGACAGTGTGAATATGTTTACAATTTATCACTGTTTTAAAATAGCATCACTCCAATACGAAGAGATATCTCGCGTGCGACTAGACGTCAGCAGACGTTTTTCATGTTTTTTGTTCTTACTTACCAAATAAAATCCTTGCAGTGACTACAGAACGTAGGTTGCTTGAAGAAACGTGGTACAAACTTATGATCCTTTACTTCAAATACATTTTTCTGTCTAAATCCACCCCGTCGCTGCACTCCCTTGAACGCATTTATAGGAGCCGTTTCTTCAGCCATCTTTACAGTGTGCAGCCTATCTACGATGAGTTTAACATCCTCATTCACGGGCACCAGTTTCACGAGCATAGAAGCGGGACGTGTGCAAACATAATGTATTAACGTCGTAACTGTCTGATTCGATTGAGCCTATTTAATTGATAATTTTACATGTCACCAAAGTGTATTTCTGCATTTTCTAATATAGAATTAGTATACGCTGATTCATGTGTTATTGTTTGCAATTACGTTGACTTAATTAATTTCCGTCGCATTTTACCGTTACAGACAGGGAGAGATGTACTAAGGGAGGTAACCTATGTGATGCAAAGAAATTATAACGGTAAAATCGTATTGACAATCAAAGAACAGTTTAAATTTCATGAATGAAAGTTGAAGAATCACCTCACTTAGCTTAGCAAGATTTTCTTCTTTTAGCCAGGGCCTAAATTAAAATTGTTCACCGTGTGCTTTGCGGGAAAATTAAAAACGTTGTAACTTGCTGATTAAAACATAAAAAGAAGCCAAATTGCTGTCATACAGAAAATAACCGAGATTTGTTTTTAACTCTAGTCACTCTTTTCACAACTTTCAACCACTATCACACCTTTGTTATTAATAGTTTTTAGATTATCAACTTTGGATTAGATGTTTATGCTGTATATATCCAGGAACAAAGTTACCTATTATCCACTTTGTATAAGTGAGATTTATTTGACTTTGTGACGGATACGTCTCATTTACTGAAGCTAATTTTTATTCATCATCCGTTGACATCGCTCAAATTTAAAATTTTAATTGTATTGGATATCAGTTATTATTTACTTTGAAGATATTTCGTCGAAAAGAAAACCATAATTATTGATCTGGACAAAACTATACGAATTGTTAGTAATCGGCCTATTCATCCATAAAATTGGGCCCCAAAATTTTACCACTCTCCCAATCATAAAGTGTTTAAAATAAGTGCACAAATCTGTAAACGATATTTATTTATTTATTTCTTGTATTGACAATAATAAACGATTATTTTTATTGATCAATTAAATTGATTGGTATTGCTTTTGAAATGTCTATCAAGAAATGATACAGGCGCGTTCATCGCATACAAAATATAACAGGGAGACTGATATTAACGTTATAACACACTCTAAAAGCCAGTTTCAAAGGTTTTTAATTGATAAAGACAAAAACGCATACTTTAAGGAATTAAAATATATTTCTAAATAAAATGATGAGAGTGATGGCTAGTTCTATAGCATATTTATATCTCTATTTGCATACGATAATATATGATTTATTGCACCAATAAGCCTATAAGAGGCTGCATACAACATAAAAACGTACGTAATATGTATTATGTAAAAACAGAAATTGCAATAGGTATGAATCAAAATGACATTATATGACACAAAAAGAACATAATGAAGATGATTGTGAACCACACATATATTTTATATTCATTTGTCTGTGATATCCCCGGGTGCTTAGTTGCGTTTGGTTAAATCATGGTATTGCACACGTATATAATATGTGTGTAGTACATAACGAAATGACCATATAGTATGCAAGTCTTTATATGACAGAAGTAATTTATTGGGGAGAATATAAAATCTTGATTCGTTTTCTTTCCTTTAACAATAACAGTATACAACAGAATGGGTGACATGACAACGAGAAGAAAATTGGAAACGGACCTCTACAAAAATAGATACTTCCACACTGTAAATAATATTTGTGTATTTTTACCGTAAATTGACTGGCAGAAACTTGCCAGTAAAATGACTGTATTTTAACACTGACTTGTAAATTTACATCTTAGTGGTAGATTTAGATTTACAAACAGCATGTAAAGTTACAGAGAGTGTAAAATAACTTCGATGTAAATTTAAATTGTGCTTGTAAATAGAAAGTGAGGTAAATTTACCTGTCACTGTAAATTTACACCGTGGTTGTAAATTCACCTCAAAGTTATCTTACACTCACTGTAAATTTACACTGTGGTTGTAAATTTATCTCGAAGTTATTTTACACCCACTGTAAATTTACGTGGTGTTTGTAAATCTAAATCTACCATTTAGGGGTACATTTACAAGTCAGTGTTAAAATACAGTGATTTTACTGGCAACTTTCTACCAGTCATTTTACAGTAAAAATACAATTTGAAGCGTATATTTACTTGAAATATACTTCGAAAAGGTGACATTTTTAAAGGGAATGTGTTTGTCCCCGCTCGGCTAAGTAGTCCTAGGTTCGATCCTGGCGAACACATAAAGTTTTGCGGACCTTTCAGCCGAGCATGCAAAACCTCATTCGATAATGGAAAGAAATTAAATAAAATGGGGTTTAACGTCCTACTGTTCTGCTTCTTACAATGGAAATGAAAAATGAAATGAAATGGGGTTTAACGTCCTACTGTTCTGCTCCTATGCTGGGCTAATGAAGACGGACATACGCCATACAGTGTGCTATGAGGGAAATTTTGCCTGGGCTGCGGCACTATCGCCTACTCTTATATCGAATTCCAACTGCCAAGGGATCTTTTACGTGCATTCCAATGTATACACGGGACCTCGGTTTTTCGTCTCATCCGAAGGACTAGACAGCTGTCCTTGTCAGGCCCTCCGTCCTGCATCACTGACAAGGGTGAACCATGCCGGAAAATCTGGATGAACTTTCTCGGCCAATGCAGGGATCGAACACCCGATCTCCAGACTAGCGAGCCAGCGTCTTACCCACTTAGCCACGTGATCCCCCTTCTTACAATGGAAAGAGTAGGAGGCATGACACGAAGCAAAATGTTCCACACAGCCTAATGTATGGCATATCACTATAACCTATTTCTTTAAAATAGACTAATCTGACTGACATAACAGTAAATATTTTGCACAAAATTCGATATGTGGTCGAAGGGGAATAACCTATTTGAACACTATTTGACAGTAAATTTACAATTTGTTGTAAAAAATACTATTTCAAATGGAGAGAGAGAGAGAGAGAAGGGGTTTAACGTCCACTCGACACAAACTAGGTCATTTCGGGACTAACATATGGTTTAATTTTATTTCAATAATTCGCTTGCGCGTAGGGGTCTTTAGCAGTGGGAGGAAACCGGAGGACCCGGAAAAAACCCACGAGGTTGGATATTTCAAATGGCATTTCTGTTAATATACAGCTCACATAATGTAAAATGATATATGGTCGTATTTCTACATTACGTTTGATGTAATCTTACATAAAAACAGTTAAAATTCAACATACATATACGTTAACAAACATAGTTGTATCAATACAGGTTACATGTAACAAAATACAGTTCTAACTTGTAAAACTACACTTTTATGGTTAATTTACCAATTATTTTTACAGTAATCCCATGTTAACGCACTAATACAGTAAATTTATAGTATAAAAACATGCAGTGGTATTTTTACAGCGTTATGTTAAAGAAATTACATAATTTTCACAGTAATTTTACATTTATTTTTCACAGTGCAAATAACACATTGGGGCTCGGACACTTTTTTCTCCACAAAAGTGCTGGCGACACATTTGCTAATATTCTGGATTTACCAATGACTCATAAAAAAACCCCAAATCAAACAATTTTCCAACAGCAACAATGCTTAAAACATATTTTATTGCGAATAATTTACAAAGTGATTAGAAAATTATGAACCTTCTCCCAGTGAATATAATGATATTAATATATGTGTTGATGGCAAAACAACATTTAACATACACTAGATACAGCTATATACAATATATACTATGGAAGCCTATAACTACCATTCATAATTTCTACTTTTCGCCTCTTCAGAACACGAAAGTCGAAAAGTCGAAAAGTAGAAGTTACGACAAAATGTGAGGCGACAAGACGGTATACAAGCCAAAATCAACTCGAAAATAGGAAATTAAGAAATAACACACCGCGATAATAGCGCCCCCCGTTTTTTCTTAATTTCTACTTTTCGACTTGCATTTTGCCTTGCAGGTCACATTTGAATACGCGCAATTCCCGTTAACAAAAATGTCTGTGTGATAGAGTCTAGTAAGGCAGAGACTACAACAACTTCCTAGGCGAAAAGTAGAAAAGTCGAAAAGTCGACAGTACGTCAGATCATCGGTCGCTAATAGCGCAGTGTGTTAATTTCCTAATTTCTACTTTTCGAGTTGCATTTTTGCTTGTATAGCGTGTTGGCGCCTTCTTACTGACATCAATAAATACAAAAATATGACTAAGTCGAAAGTCGACAAGACGGTATACAAGCCAAAATGCAAGTCGAAAAGTAGAAATTAAGAAAAAACGGGGGGCGCTATTATCGCGGTGTGTTATTTCTTAATTTCCTATTTTCGAGTTGATTTTGGCTTGTATACCATACCGTCTTGTCGCCTCACATTTTGTCGTAACTTCTACTTTTCGACTTTTCGACTTTCGTGTTCTGAAGAGGCGAAAAGTAGAAATTATGAATGGTAGTTATAGGCTTCCATAATATACACTCATATATAATTAAGTTATATCATTGTTATTTAAATCAATATATGTATCTAATATCAATTATTCACTATTATTAACTCTCTAAACAATGATGAATATTAGTGAACTAATTGTGAAGATTTTTATTAATCAATAAAAGTAAGGATATAATTTACTACCGCAACATTTTGTTCCGAAAATATAGAGTTGAACTGCAAGAATTATTTTATTATTGAAAAGGTGTTGTAGCAATATAGGAATGTGCAAACTAAGCTTTCTTGGTTTTAAATTATAGATTACACCCAGTAGTGTTAGAGGCCTTGAAGTTTTCCGACAGTCGCATTGGATAGGTAACAGTCAAATCACGAATTTGCCTGGTTTCCCAAAAAGTTTTAAACAATTTTTTTTAATGTAAATACCTCTAATATTTCATATATCTGTCATAACTCTTATAAAACAGAAGAATTTCACATCACTTATTTGGCCCTATGGATTTTTTCACAAATTTTCACATGGCTAACTATTAGAATCATGGATTTACCTGGTATCCACCACATATTTTACAACGTTTTTGTTGAGACTAGAAAAAAGATTA